CGTCCCGCTGGCACTCACATGCTCTCTCTCTCTCAAAATAAATAAATAAAACATCTTAAAAAATGGCAACAGCAAATGACATATATTCTAATAAAATTTTGGTAACAGGTGTAAAATGAAAGACTATGAAACCCAATCACTTTTAATCATTATTAAGTTTGTGTTAGTCTTTATTAAAACAAAAAAAAAATCAAAAATTCAGACACTGGATTACATGATATATACAAGAATATACAAAAGTAAAAGAAAAAAGTACATATATACTACATTAATTAGCAAAGCAGAAATTTGTTATCTGGTCATTGTATCTCAAATCCAAATGTTTACATCCAGGACGTCACAGAGGTAACTTCTTTTTGTACCTAAAGTAAAAATAAATCTATTTAATAGAAGACAATAAAACAGCGTTCATTTGTGAAGTGCCTAATAACAATTTCAGTGTATTAAAATTCTAACCTAAGACATAGAGAGAGAGAGAGAGACATTTTGCCATGCTCTAATTCCAATTCATTTTGTACTCTTGGGTTCATATAAGTTCAACCACCTCAAAAACACTCAAGACTGACTTACACAGCATTCAGTGTCACAGACAGATAACAGCCTGAAGAGTTTGGCCCATTCTAGTGCTAGCATTTAAATTCATACCTTTCTCTGGAAAGACTACAGGGTATATAACATTCCTATCTGCTTGTAATTAGGAAGCAGGGAAGTCAAAACACAGGCTATTCCTTTCCTGTCCATCCAAAACTGACTCTATGTTTAAGCATGTTGAAAAAAGAAAATATAAAGAGTCATTTGTTAAGGTTGTTCATTTTTAAAAGGATCATAGTAACAAGGGTTTCCTTAATTTTTGTGTCCCTTATTAAAATAAATGTCAGCATACCATCAAAAACAAAGAATAAAACTGCTGCTTTTCAGTTACCTTATTGAGCTCTGGAAATAGTTCTTGTATCACAATGTCCAATAAAACATAAGTCAGCTAAAGCACCAAAACAAAAATTTTTAAGGCATTAGACAAAAAACCATAAAAATGATAAACACAAAATTCAGGACTGTGGTTATGTCTAAATGAGAAAGCAGAGAGCAGAACTCAAATATACATGTGGACATTTTATTATTATGCTGCATAATTCATTTTATCTTAACTATTTTATACATAACAAAATTTTGAAGAAGGAAGCAGGATACAAAATTTTAACTTATTAGGATCTCAACAAAATATGTACATACTGCACTATATATGTAGTGTTAACTGGTTATTCTAATGTAATCTGAATGATAGAATTCTTAATTTTTTAAATTTTACTTTATTTCATGAATTTTGTATAAATTCCAAATTTTCTACAATGAATCTATGTTTATTTTAAGTCAAAACTACTTATGTTATAAAGAAAAAAAAGTAAACTAGAGAACAAACTGATGGTTACCACAAGGCAAGGGGAAATGGGTGCTATAGGGGAAGGGGACTAAGAAAGAGTACACTTATCCTGATGAGGACTGAGTAATATATAGACTGGTTAAATCACATTATATACTTGAAACTAATATGACACTATATGTTAATTATACTGGAATTAAAATAGAAAACTTAATTAAAAAAATTAAAAAGTAGTCAGCAAAAAAGAGTAACAAAGATGAAACATTTTTTTTCTATCCGAATGTTTGAAGTGCACCACCTTGAGAGTGTCACTTCACAATAACATACCAGAATCCTACTGTGTGTCGTTCACAAAACCTAGCCAACACTAGTCAACCTCCTTTAATGATTTTTACCTGTTTATTGAGAACTGGCTGTTGTAAGCCATCAAATAGAAGTCTGATGCTTTCATACTTGGCTTCTTCACCAATACACTTGACTATCAGATCTAAACAAGAAAGCCAAATGTGAAACATTTCATATTACAAAGTGACTCATCATTTAGTGGACCATAAAGCAAAATCTTCACTCTGTTTCCCAGATATTACACAAAAACTGTAAATCAGCATTTCCTAAACCAGTGTTCTTGCAAAAGCCTCCTGGAAAAAACACTTCTATGGTCAAGAAACTCAGAACCGTATATCCTCCTTCTGGAGATTCACAATGCACCAAGTATACTGCAAGTGCTGAGGAGTGTTGCAGTAAAAAAATTTATATATTGGGGCGCCTGGGTGGCGCAGTCGGTTAAGCATCCGACTTCAGCCAGGTCACGATCTCGCGGTCCGTGAGTTCGAGCCCCGCGTCGGGCTCTGGGCTGATGGCTCAGAGCCTGGAGCCTGTTTCCGATTCTGTGTCTCCCTCTCTTCTCTGCCCCTCCCCTGTTCATGCTCTGTCTCTCTCTGTCCCAAAAATAAACAAACGTTAAAAAAAAAAAAAAATTTATACTATTTATACTGTTATACTATTTACACTATTAAGTGATAAAAGACAGTTGTAAAGTAATACACACTGTGTTATTCCATTCAGATAAAACAAATAAAAATCCCAAAATTATGCATATGCATTTGTATACACATGTATAGAAATGCACAGAAAGGGGCGCCTGGGTGGCGCAGTTGGTTGAGCGTCCGACTTCAGCCAGGTCACGATCTTGCGGTCCGTGAGTTCGAGCCCCGCGTCGGGCTCTGGGCTGATGGCTCAGAGCCTGGAGCCTGTTTCCGATTCTGTGTCTCCCTCTCTCTCTGCCCCTCCCCCGTTCATGCTCTGTCTCTCTCTGTCCCAAAAATAAATAAATGTTGAAAAAAAAAATTTAAAAAAAAGAAATGCACAGAAAAATATTTGTGATGATTAACACCAAGCTGAGTACATGGCTACTTATACACATTGGGGAGATGGCTTCTACTTATTACTATATATTTTTTCATAATGTTTGAATATCTTAGTATCAGGAAAAAAAGTTAACTGTTTAATATAGACTTTCCTCAATGAATATGACCACTTTATTTTGTACTTTTTGCATAATTATTATTAACCATCTTACAGAACAATCTTTTTGGGAAATGTTTAAATACTAATTTAGGATCTAAAAAGTTCTGATTCATGTTTGACCCCACAGATGTCATGTATCACTTTTATTACCAAAGAGTCAGTCCTTACTAAAAACCTCAACTAAACCTTTTCCCCAAGGCAAAAAGTAAAATTATCAAGTAAACCACAGGCCCAAATATGTGTCCTTTCCCCCGCAAACATAATAAAACTCTTAATGATGTTCTTGAAAAAGTTCTCACCTTATGTTTGCTTCTAGGAGATAAATCTAACCCTAAGTGGCAAAGGCCAAATTCAATTTATAACAAGCATAGTAGATCCTTGATCTTTTCAAGATTATGTGGCCCAATATGGATCTTTATGAATCTGCTAATTCACCAATACTATACAGAACTTCCCAATTAATATGTGTGAACCATAATGGACAAAAATAAGTGATCCTTTCAGATCCTTCAGAAATCCTAAGTAAGATTGAGGGGTAGAGGACAACAGAAAGACATGCTAAGTTTACTAAATTATTCCTTCCCAAAAGGAGTCTTGAAGTAGAGGTGATTCAAATTCATGCCTCAGCAAAATAACAAATTATTACATTCAGTGGCTTTCCATGTTGTCCCTGAATATCAAACTAAGACTGTTAAAGCCATGAATGCTAAGGGTCACTATTACAAAACAGGTAAGAAATTATTTCATCATTTACCTACAGAAGACTTACCCCAGAATAGCTTTTATTCACTTTTATATTCAGACCAGGGATTTAACTTAACTATCTTCACACAGAGCAACAGGACTATTCTGAGACTAATTTTTCAATGATGAGAATTCTCTAAGGTACAGTCCAAAGGTACAGTCCAAAGGCTTCTTTGGTTCTTACTCTGTATTTTCTCTCTGGGCATTATTATCCACTACACATAACTTCTATGTCTCTATCCTGTACTGTTCATTAATCCAATTTCAAAACCTGGGTATCTCACTACTTACTAGACATGTCTTCCTGAATACTGTATAGGAACTTCACACTCAAAATATTCTAAACTAAGTATCCTCTGCTTTGACTCCTTGCATCTTTTCCTTGTATTTCCCATCTCTGTAACAGGTTACTACTATTTATTTACCTTGTGGTCCAAGCTTACCTCCTTTACAGGAGAAATGATCATTCTCCTCCTCTGAGACACACTCTGTGACTTGGAACATGCCTTCTCTCTTATCATATGTATGTTTTATCTGTATGTCTGTCTGTCCACTAGACTGAACTACTCAAGTACACTTTTTATATCCCTTGCACTCTGCATAGTGCCTGACATGTGGAAAGAGCTCAATAAATTTGAAATGAACGAATGAATTCTGACCTTTTACTCATAAACACGAGTGAAGCTCTTCTCATTGTAGAGTGGGCAGCAGGATTCCAACTGTCCCACAAACAGATCACTTTGATCAGTCTGATTATAAGTTGTTGCTAAAAAAATCTGGCTGTTGCATAAGTAGAAAAAGCCTGTCTTAAATTTCATTGTGCTTATATTATAAAAACCAAATTTTATTTAACTAATGACTTAATTTTACTTTGTCCTTAGTAACTATTACTAAAATGAAAACTCAAAATAAAAATTGGCCTCAATAATTACTATACATCGTGATCTCAAAGGGGTGCTAATCTGTATTTACTACTTAGATATTACACCTGGAATGTAATTCATCATTTCTTCAAAAGTCTGTTTTGCTCGTTTTTGCTTATCTTGGAGAGAACGAGGTTCAGTGTTTTCACAGAATACAGCATCTAAAATGAAACAAAAAGAAATATTTTCACCTATTATACACGAAGTACTTCTTCATAGCAGAAATACCAATAAACCAGTGAAAAACAAGACACAACAGTACACAAGACCTGAAACAAACACATGAGAAAATACCTCTGAGAAGTGTTATAAGTGAGACCAAACGGTGCTCCTGAAATAGTTGTTCTAGTTTACAATGAAGATAGTAGTCAGTATACATTTCCAAGGTATTTTTAAACAGGATTCGAGTTCCCATTAAGAGATGATGAAGCCAGTCAGGAACTTGGAAAACCACCCGTCCTGAGAGGGATCATATAGAATATTTTGTTAAGATAAACAGGTATTTCAAACATTCTCCAATGTGAAAACACAAAAATGGTAATATTTTATTTGTAAACACTAGTAACTTTAATATGTTCAGGACCATTTGTATCAAATTCTAATAAAAGAAATATCTTTAATTTAAAAAGAAGTTACAATGGGGCAATAGTGAAGAGCATTAATTTGTATCACAGAAGATACAGGACACATGAATGAAAAATAGGTTTTAATATAACCAGACAGACCTTACCTACATACATCAGGTAATCATAGACTCCTTCTACAGTCATCATCTCCATAAAATAATTCTGATTTTGCTTTCTTTCTGTATTCTCAGCACGGTTTGCATTATTCTTAAATAGATCACTGAAAAGCTGAAGTAAAAATTGAAATAGTAAAGAGATGCATAGTTTATTACACCTGCTAATAAACAAACACTAAGGCTAAAGTGACAACAGAACACAGGCATTTAAACCTTTTTTAATCAAAACGAGCATTAGATAGGTTAAGCTCTGTCTCCAAAATTCCACATTTATATCCAAAATTGAATTAAAAATACATTCTCCCCAAAGTAGTACACAAAAGTCTCCATTCATTTAAGACAAAACAGATAATTACCCATAGGAAGAACCCCTTTGTTTTTTTATACCAAAATGAGCAAATAAACATATAAAGATGTATAAATATATTAATGACAGCTAATTTTAAAACTAACATGACTTAAAGATTATAATTCACTAGTTAATTAATTAAAGGGTGTTTAGAGGTGAACATTGAGCTCTAACCAAAGTTTGACAGTAACAGTCATAGTCTGAAAATGTGAAAAAAAAAAAAGATGCAAAAAACTTCTTATAGTAAAAATGATGAAATGCAACGAAATCTCAGCCCTACTTACTCCCAACTATGCAAAAAAAGTCTATTCTTGATAATAATAATAATAATGAAACAGCAGAAATAAAGGAACTAAAAGTATGCTAGAAAAGATCAACAAAGCCAAGAGATTAAAAGGACAAAATCTTTGACAAGATTGATCAAAAAAATAAAAAAGAAAATGACACAAATAATATAAAAAATAAAAGGGGATATAACTACAGATGTTAGAAAAAATTAAAAGGACATTATTGACAACTTCAGGACAAAAAATTTTCAAATTTAGATTGAATAAAAAATGCGTTGAAAAATATAACCTATCGGGGCGCCTGGGTGGCTCAGTCAGTTAAGCGGCAGGCTTCGGCTCAGGTCATGATTTCACGGTCCATGAGTTCGAGCCCCGTGTCGGACTCTGTGCTGACAGCTCAGAGGCTGGAGCCGGTTTCAGATTCTGTGTCTCCCTCTCTCTCTGCCCCTCCCCTGTTCATGCTCTGTCTCTATCTCAAAAATAAATAAACGTTAAAAAAAAATTTTTTTTAAAGAAAAATATAACCTATCAAAACGGACTCACAAAACAAATCTGAAGAATACTATAATCACTAAAGAAATTGTTTGTTTTAATGTTTATTTATTTTTGAGAGAGAATGAGCAGGGAAGGTGCAGGGCGAGAGGGGACAGAGAATCTGAAGTAGGTTCTGCTCTGACTCCGAGCTGACAGTAGAGAGCTCAATTCAGGACTCGAACTCACGAACCACGAGATCATGACCTGAGCCAAAGTTAGACACTCGACTCAGCCACCTAAGCATCCCGAAATTGGTTTTTAAAGAAAACCTTCCTATAAACAAAACTTGAGGCTTAGAGGACTTTAACAACCAATCATATAAATTATTCAAAGAACTAATAATTCCAATTATAATTTTACCAGCAAACAGAAAAAGGTTAATATAACTTTAATACCAAAACCTGACAAGGATTGGGGCACCTGGGTGGCTCAGTCATTTAAGTGTCTGACTCTTGATTTCGGCCCAGGTCATAATCTCATGGTTTGTGAGTTCAAGTCCTGCATCTGGCTCTGTACTGAACATGGAACCTGCTTGAGATCCTCTCTCCCTCCCTCTCTGTCTGCTGCTCCCCTGCTTGTGCTCTTTCTCTCAAGATAAATAAATAATTTTTTTTAAAAAATTGGCAAGGATAGAATGAGAAAGAAAAATTACAGTAAAAACCTTGGTTTGCAAGCATAATTCATTCCAGTAGAGACCAACTCCACCCATAAAGATGGTGCAAACTTCTTTAACCTTATAAAGAATATCTATGAAAAAAGCTACACTATACACTATTTAATGGTGAAATACTGAAATGATTCTCTTTGTACAACAGGTCCTAGCCATGAATGAAACAAAACCACCATTTGCAGATAATGTGTATTAAAGAATTAATAGATATATTACTAAAATTAGTACAAGTCTAGCAAAGTTACTGAATTTAAAAAAATCAACACGTAAAAATTAACTGTATTTATCAAATGAAAGTGATAAAGTGAAAAAAATATTAAAGACACCTTTTATAGTAATAACAAAAAAGTGAGTTTTGGGGTTAAAGGGGGAAGGCTGTCCTTTGAGCTCACATAGCTCCTCATGCTGAGCACTATTCTGGCACTAAACTGAGCTTCCTGTGGACAGGAAATATATCTTTATATTCCAGTGTTGGCACAGGTTAAAATACTTGCTTAATGGATTAAATATTATATAAGCCATTAAGATTAGATAAAATAAGCATCAAATCAACATGACTACATTGTATCAATTTACTTCATGAGTATTAGAAGTTGGTGATTTACAACCTAAGAAAACCACCTTAAAAAATCCCCCAAGGGGCGCCTGGGTGGCTCTGTTGGTTAAGCATTGGACTTCAGCTCAGGTCATGATCTCATGCTTCATACGTTTAAGCCCCATATCAGGCTTTGCACTGACGTGTGGAGCCTGCTTGGGATCCTCTCTCTCCCTCCCTCTCTGTCCCTTCCTCACTCTCTTTCTCCCTTTCTCAAAATAAAGAATAAACTTAAAATAAAAAATCCCCCAAATACGTAAATGTTAGAAATTTGCAAATGCAATTATATAAAGAAAAATTTACCTGTTAAAAGCAAAGATGCAAGCAACTACATAAAATACCCTCCTTACACTGTACAACTGATTTCCATATAAAGGAAATAAGTCCCATTCATTTCATTAACACATGATTCTCCCTACAATGGAAAAGTTGTTCCAAGTAGGGTAACTTCAAACCTTATGACTCTGTCAAACAATAAATATGCAGTACCTTCTTGTTGTTTTCTGAAGTAGGGCTGAGAATGGTCAGTTCTGGTTTACTTGGTTTAGGCTTTGGAGATTCACAAGAATTAATGAAATTCATGATGAAAGGTTCCAAATGCTGGCCTTTCTGTTGTGACATAGAAATCATGGTATGAAAATAAAAAATCAAGATTATGATTTTTAATAATCATATAATGCATTAAAATTCACTGATATTTAAATACGGTTATAACTATCATGTTACAGAATATACGTAAATCAGTTATTCACCTCTTTCATTAGTTTTCCAGGAACAGACTTTATAATTTTACCTGCAATTAAAAGTAAAATATTAATTTTATGAAAGCATAATATACTGCAAAATTGCTCACATGAATACTTCACTAGGTAATTTTTTTTTCACTAGGTAACTTTAAATACTCAAAAGCCAAGTAAAAAAAGTAAAACAATAAAAAATATAACTTACTATTTCACACTCAACAGAAATTTACAATAAATATGGTATTCTTTTTTTTAATGTTTATTTTGAGAGAGAGAGCGCGCGCACACACACACACACACACACACACACACACACGTGCGTGAGCAAGAGGGGGAGGGGCAGAGAGACAAGGGGACAGAGGATCCGAAGTGGGCTCTGTGATGACAGCAGGGAGCCGGATGCGGGGCTCAGGAACCTGTGGGGATTTACTTTAAAATAATCCAGTAGTGTTGGGGTGGGGGGGGCGGTGCGGGAAGGACTGAACAAGGCAAGTGTTGATAACTGTTGCAATAGCGTGAGAAGTTTATTATACAAAATTCTCTACTTTTATGTATATTTGAAATTTTCCATAAGAAATGTTTTCAAAAGATTTTAAACAATGATGAATATATAAAGATATCTAAAAGTATACAAAAGTCAAAAAAATTTTAAGAATTGCTACAACATTTAAATTGGTTAAATAGTTTATAATCTGAATTTTAGGTTAAGAATACATATTCTAATCCTGTTTGCCAAAATCTCTTCTTGATCTTATCTCCAGGTTCCCTTATTTTAAAATATCAAACACCTTGAGATTTTCTCAAACATTAGAAATGCCTTTAAAAATTAGTCAAAATTGATAAATGCGACAAATTTCTTTCAGTTCAATTTAGAAAAAAGTAGGCTTATGGCAATAGCAGAACACATATTAATAAGAAATTAAAATGGAGATTGTTGGGAGCACCTGGGTGGCTCAGTTGGGTGAGTGTCTGACTTTGGCTCAGGTCATGATCTCATGGTTTTTGAGTTCAAGCCCCACATCGGGCCCGCTGCTGTTAGCGCAGAACCCGCTTGGGATCCTCTGTCCTCCTCTCTCTGCCCCTCCCCTGCTTGTGCTCTCCTTCTCAAAAATAAACATTTAAGAATAAAAATAAATAAAATAAAATGTAGATTATTTTATGACATGAAAACCACCTAACCCTCTCCCACCAGACTATTTCTCCTTTCTACCCCCGTTAACTACTCCTCTCTTAGACTTCTCCAAGTTCCTTAAATGACGAGCTTTATTCTCTTTGCTTCTCTGTCTCTTCTACATGCTCTTCCTGAGTCAAATTATGTGCTCAATCTGACTTCATATAACACTCAAATCTCTACTGCTTGCCTGTCTCCTGGCCTCTCCTACCTTACAAAACCTCTCACTGGATTCTATAAACTCAACAAGTTCAGAACTACCCTTAATTTATTCCTTATCTCAGCAAGTAACAGCATCCATCCAAATGTTTAAATAGAAAATCTGGGTCACATCTCTGATCATTTCTTCTTCTTTAGTCAATCCTAGTTGGCAACCAAGTCTACCCAATTCTGTCTTCTAAACATCATATATAACCAAATATAAAACGTTCTCCCATTTTCCCCTGATAAGAAAACCTCCACGTACAAATACCAAGTATTTTGGCTCTGACCGAATGTACTAATTTGAAGAGACACAGATGAAAGCCAAATGCCCACTTGCAACATTTAATTCATTTATTTACTTCTATATATACTTCAGATTATATTTTATAAAATATATTTAGAAATATTGCTTTACTCCATTATTATCTCTTTTTTTTAATGTTTATTTATTTATTTTGAGAGAGAGAGAGCTGAGGAGGGGCTGGGAGAGACGGGGAGAGAGATCCCCAAGCAGTACCTGCACTGTCAGCACAGAGCCTGATGTGGGGCTCGAACTCACAAACCATGAGATCATGACCTGAGCCCAGATCAAGAGTCAGACGCTTAACCAACTGAGCTACCCAGGTGCCCCTACCTCCATTATTATCTTTAACAATCCAAATTTTTCCTGCCTTTATCTCTGTGGTCTATACTGAACTTTATGTAAAAGAAACCATCTTAATGGTTTTAAGATTAACAATGTTGTTGCAAATAGCTACACGTTATAGGTATTCATTTTATGAATCTACCACAATTTATCTGTCTACTCTATTGGTGATGAACATTTGTATTATTTCCAGTTTTAGTGACTGGTTATAAACAATAATGCTATGAACATTCTTTAATATGAATATAAGATTCTCTAGAGTATATATCTCAGAGAGGAACTACTGGGTCATTCAGTTCTATACCAAACTGTTTTCCCAATTAGTTTCCAATTTATATTCCTACTAACAGTGTATAATAAGTCTATTAGAATTTGATACATGGTTTCACTATATAAACTACTCTTCCTTCATTAATCTGAAAATGATTATTTCAGTTTATCCACTTCTTAAAAATTTTTAAGTATGTTTATTTATTTTGAGAGACAGAGACAGAACACACCCATGGGGAAGGGACAGAGAGAGAGGGAGAAAGAGACAATCCCAAGCAGGTTTCACACTGCCAGCATGGAGCCTGATGCAGGGCTCAAATTCATGAACCGTGAGATCATGACCTGAACCGAAATCAACAGTCAAACACTTAACTGACTGAGCCACCCAGGCACCTCTCAGTTTATCCTCTCATACATGACTCTTTAAACTGACTTACCAAGATTTACATCTGGTAGTATCTTATCAAGAAATTGTGTTTCCCCGCCATTGGGGGAGAGAAAATCCGCCAGAAGTTGACTATTACTCAGTTCTGGGTGCTGCAGAAGTTTCTTAAATGAAAAAGGAAAAAAAAAGGGAAAAAACAGCTTAATAACCCGAAGGGTGATCAAAACTATATTAAAATGATTAAAAAAAACAATTATAAATCCTCAAAAGCTATTTTCTCTGCAGAATAACAAAACTACATTTGTAGAAAGAATATATCACATAGCAGATAAGACTTCAACCTCTACAGTCAGACATGAAAGAATTTGAATTCTGGCTCTCTTCCATTTACCAGTGAGGTATCCCTAAGAAAAGTTCCTAAACTACCTAAGAGTTTCCTCAAGTGTAAAATGAAGATAATACTACTCCTTACTTTATAACGTTATTATATAAAGCATTTAGCACAGTACCTGATACACAGGAAGATTAAACATTAGCTAATATTATTTCTGTGTCTCAACTATAAAACAAGTACTACAATATCTTGATAATTAAAAGAAGTTGGCACAAGGGTTTTGAAGAAAACTAAATGTAGAAATGTGAACTTGAAAAATTTGTTGTCTGTTCTTCTTGCAACACTATTTTCTTACAAGATAAACTGACTTTTTAAAGCCAAAATTAACCCAGTCTTACCTAATATTGTTTTGTAACTTGAAACAGTTGCAAAACTTTATGAGCAGAAATCTGTATAAATGAAATACCAGTAATAGCAACCTTTAGCTCCATATCACCAGAAAATACTCTTCTAGAATGCAGTACTTCCAATTCTTAGAAAGATTTAGTCCATTCAAATAATGGGTTAATGGTATCAACAAAGGCAAAGGTTAACACTCCTATATGCTGCATTCAAATATCCTTGCAGACGTTAATAATTTAAAGTTAATAACATAATAATAATAAAATATTTCATATTTCAATTTTCACGCCACCAAAAACTTATATAATGAATATTTTCTGGGCTGAAGTATTCAACAGTTTAAACACAAGAAATAAAATGTAAATATTCCTTTATACTGTTGAGTATTTTTTTTAACTTAAAATACTTACTTTGGGCAAAGAGGCATCCAAATTTAACTGAATACTTAATAAAATCTAAAAAATGTCATGGCCAAATAAAGAAAAGGTTTTTTTAGGGGGCATCTGGGTGGCTCAGTTGGTTAGGCTTCTGACTTTGACTCAGGTCATGATCTCACCGCCCATGAGTTCAAGGCCCATATCGGACTCTGCTGTCAGCATAGAGCCTGCTTGGGGATCTTCTGTCTCCCTCTCTCTCTGATCCTCCCCCACACCTTCTCTCTCAAAAATAAACAAACATTAAAAAAAAAGATTTTTTTAACAAAACAAAAAAAGTAAAAAGTATCCACTCTTTGGTCTTAAGCACTTGATTAAAGAAAGATGGTCATTAATTTTATATTAGTCTCAAGTAAGCACCTTTTTTTTTTTGAGAGAGAGCAAGCGAGCACACGAGCGAGCATCCACAAGAAGGAGAGGGATGGAGGGAGAAGAAGAGAGAGAATCCCAAGCAGGCTCTGGCTGTCAGTGCAGAGCCCAATGCAGGGTTCAATCTCACAACCGTAAGATCATGACCTGAGCCGACACCAATAGTCGGATGCTTAACTGACTGAGCCACCTAGGCGCCCCTCAAGTAAGTAACTTAAATTGACTGCATCAACAATGGAAAACACATACCAATTACATTGTTTATATAACACCATGTGCACACACTAAAAAATAAAATAAAATTCGGACACCTGGGTAGCTCAGGGGGACCCTGGGTGGCTCAGTCGGTTAAGCATCTGACTCTTGGTTTCAGCTCAGATCGTGATCTCACAGTTCGTGGGTTCGAGCCTGGCATTAGGCTCTGCACTGGCAGTGCAGTGCCTGCTTGGGATCCTCTGTCTCTCTCTCTCTCTGCCCCTCCCCTACTCACTCTGTCTCTTTCTCAAAAATAAATAAACTTAAAAAGAAAAGAATTTTAGAAGTCCACATTGACAGGTATTTATAAAGCAAAATATATATATACAAGAGAAAAAAAGATTAGAGAATGCTAGGATTAGCAATGTTTTAAATTAAGTTACTACTATACCTGTAGATATTCCTGAAATTCTTCTCTCTTTGACTTTAAGAATTCATAATTTTTGGGGCCAATGATCCTCTTGGAAGGAAGCTGGGCATCAGGAAATGTGCCTGAAATTAATATATATGTAAGTTATTACTATGTTCTGCTACCATCTTTAAAACCTAATTTATAATTCACTATGGCAAAATCAGATTCACAATGCTCTTACAGAGATGTGGCATTATCTTTAAAGTAATCTTGACAAAATCCATGAGCTTCACTTCAGAAGTCCAAACCAAAGAACCTGAATATACAGATATCCAAAATTTCACCAACTCTTCATTGACAAAGACTTATTTAGCCTTCGATACTAGTAAAAAAGCTTCAAAAACTTATCATGAGATTATCTTGAAGTTGGTGGGATTCTACTCAACAAAATCTTACAAAGAAATACCTACTCTATCATGGGAGAAAAGGTAGCATTCTGCTAATACTATACAAACTTAAAAAAACAAAATTTAAAAACCATGGACATTCAGGGCACCTGGGTGGCTCAGTTGATTGGGCATCTGACTTCGGCTCAGGTCATGATCTCATGCTTCATGGGTTAGAGCCCCGTGTTGGGCTCTGTGCTAACAGCTCAGAGCCTAGAGCCTGCTTCAGATTCTGTCTCCCTCTCTCTCTGCCCTGCCCCTCTTACTGTGTCTCTGTCTCTCAAAAATGAATAAATGTTAAAAAAAAAATTAAAAAAAAATAAAAACAAAAAACATGGACTTGCTTTCTCAAATAGGGCTGACTAGAAATTTAAATACCAAAAAAGAAAAATATTGTTGGGAATCCAATCAACTTAGGTTGATCCAGGACTTTAAAGTATAGAATAAATTATCTTCTCTCAACTCTAAACCCAAAGGAAAATTTCTCAGAGAAAGAATGAGACAAGAATGACATTGCACAAAACTGGCAGAGAAAAAGAAAAACCATTTTTTAAATTTATTTATTCATTTATCTATCTATCTATCTATCTATCTATCTATCTATCTATCTATTTAAGAGAGAGCAAGCGGAGGGGGGCAGAGGAAGAGAGAGAAGAGAATCTTAATTGTGTAGAGCCCGATGCAGGACTCAACCCCACGATCCTGGGATCATGACCTGAGCCAAAATCAAGGATCAGACGCTCAATCAAGTGAGCCACTCAGGTGCCCCAAGAGAAAACCATTTAAAGACAAGTACAAATTCAAAATCTAAGCAAAAAGATTGGAATGGGACCTTGTATTTTTTTTTACCTTCCTGTAGTCTCTTTATCAAGTGTTTTACTTAGAGCACTTAGTAAAGAAGGGTAAAAAAGGTTCCTGTCCTCAATAGAGAACCAACCTGAATTTGGATCAGGGACACTCCACAAAGCTGGTCTAAAAGAAAAAGATTCAGAATACACAAATAGAACTCACCAATCTACATGCAAAATGACTGGAAATACTTTATAACTACATCCTTGATATTAACTAAAATAGATAAGACAGACTGAGAGGTGAAGAGAATACCTAAAAAAAGGAAAGTGCTCCCCTTTTCTGATTGATCTAACCTTAAAAGAAATATTACAAGTTTTGTCTTCATATCTAAATCTAAGAGCTAAATCAAAACATTTGTCATGATTCAGAGCAAACATGTTTATCAAGAAAGATGGTAGTAAAAGAGCAGAGCAACTCTAAAATGCCTGGTTTAAATTCTCTGCCACATGGAAATAAACAAAAATTAAACTGGAGAGAGAAACTTTTCTACAATACAATTAAACAATAGCTATCTTTTAAATTTTAATATTATTGAGGTGCCTGGGTGGCTCAGTCAGTTAAGTGTCCAACTTTAGCTCAGGTCATGATCTTGCAGTTCGTGAGTTCAAGCCCCCGGTGTTGGGTTTTCTGCTGACAGCTCAGAGTCTGGAGCCTGCTTTGGATTCTGTCTCCCTCGCTCCCTGCCCCTCTCCTGCTCGTGCTCTCTCTTTCCCTCTCTCTCTCATAAATATTTTTTTAAAAATTAATAAGTAATACATGTATACTGTAAAAACTTCAAAAATATTTGTAAGCAGAAATAAGATAAAAACAGTACATTCCTATATTAACAGCAGTGTACATAAGTGTTAAGTATTACACTTCTTTGCATAATTACTTAAAATGAAAAAATGAATCTAGTTCAACAGCTTCTTCAAGAAAGCTAATACTAAAATGTAATGTTTTATACAAAAAGGACAACATACCATGAAACTCTGTTAGTTTTGATTCAAGTACATAGAATTCAAGATATCTTCTATAGACAGACCAATGTTCAGGCTCATGCCCAACTGTAAATTGAATGGATACACAGTAAGTAATAAATAATTTTATAAACTACTATAAGAAATTCTTCCAGTCTTAATGATTTATTATTCCTTAACATCACATTATTAACATATTTTATCCCATATCTTAATTTTAAATTTCTTAAGGGACTGATAAACTTCACCTATTTATGAAGTTATCTCAAAACACATTTTTCTAGAAAAGAATCATAGAGCTGACAGAAATTTAAAACAATTATACAGTCAAGATTTTTAAGTGTCACAGAAATAAATTATGTATTTCATAAAAACTTGTAATCAATTTTGGGTCCCTCAAATATTTACCAATTGTCCTGATCTAATACAGTATAGAACAGCACTATCAAACAGAGCTATCTGCAATTCTGAAATGTTCTCTATTATCTGCATTAATATAGTAGATATTAGCCACATGTAGTTATTGATCACTTGAAATGTGACTATTGTAAGTAAGGAACTAAAATTTTAATATAATTTAATTTTAACTGGTACATGAAGCTAGTGGCTACCAAACTGAATAGCACAAAGTAATGGTTTACACAATGAGTTGAGTCAGACTGCCTATTCCAATCCCAGCTTCCCCATTTATTAAGTGAACTAGAACAAATAACCTCACTGTGCCTTAAGTTGCTTAGAATAAAAATAAGTGGGGCGCTGGGGTGGCTCAGTCAGTTTAGCATCTGTCTCTTGATTTTGGCTCAAGTCATGATCTCAGGATCATGGGATTAAGCCCCGTGTCAGGCTCAGCACTGAGTATGGAGGCTGCTTGGCATTCTCTCTCTTCTTCTTTCTTTGCCCCTCTACCTCTCTCTCTCTCTCTCTCTCTCTCTCTCTCTCTCTCTCTCTGTCAAGAACAAATAAATAGGGGCGCCTAGGTGGCTCAATTGGTTAAGCGTCCAACTACAGCTCAGGTCATGATCTTGTGGTTTGTGGGTTCACACCCCACATCGGGCTCTGTGCTAACAGCTCAGAGCCTGTAGCCTCCTTCGGATTCTGTGTCTCCTCTCTCTGTCCCTCCCCTGCTCACACTCTGTCTGTCTCTCTCTCTCAAAAATAAATAAACATTAAAAAGTTTTTTTAAAAAGAACAAATAAATATTTTTAAATAAAAAAAAAAAAAGAAAAACAAATAAGGGGAATTATTAGCACTGACCTTCATGCTGTAATACTTCATCAGTCCTCTCTCAAAACCATTTCCTAACACTGCCATTTTCTTTCCTTCTTTCACCACAAACAGTTCCCTCTTCCTGAGCTCAATTTTATCTTTCTGTTCATCATTCCCAAAATGTGCACAAGTTTGATGTGCTTTTGTTTACACTGAATGCCCTACTTCTTGGGCAAAAGCCAGGGTGGTGTCTGTTATCTCATCATGGATACTATTTACACCTATATCTATTAGTCCACACCTGAAACAACCAAAAGAAGACAGGAAAACATGATGAAAACCTCTCACATTGTGTTTTATCACATTTTTATAAATTCTAATTAGCCCACAACAATGGAGGAGGAGAAATGCTGTCTTAATGAAATTGGTATAATACCCGATATAGTGCTATGTGGGTTACTAATAATAAGTATAATGGCTAATGATGGTAGCAAAACCATTAAAAGAACATTACATAAAATGCCCTGCTGCATTGTCAGGTGTCTCACAGGTGGCATATGCATTGGTTGAACAAACTAATTAGTTAAGTGGTACTAGAGATAACCTAGAAAAGCCTAAGTTTTCATTCAATTTTCTGTTCGGACACTTATCTTTTGAATGTTTGCTTATTTTTGAGAGAGAGAGGAGGAGAGGCAGAGAGAGAAGGAGACAGAAGATCCCAAGCAGGCTCTGCACTGACAGCAGATGCAGGGCTTGAAACCCATGAACCGTGAGATCATGACCTGAGCCAAAGACAAACGCTCAACTGACTGAACCAACCAGGCGCCCCCAGACACTTATCTTTTGGACATGCAGTCATACTCAATAGTTACAAATGGCAAAATGTTTACCATTCCTGACAAATAGACTAACTGGCGCCTTTTAAGAAATGTATTCAGAGAACTTCCTACCTGCTCTTCTATCATTTCTTTCAACATCAATACAAAACACAGGTATTCTCTCCTTCTTCTCCTTCCTTTCAGAGGAGGGATCTTCAAAAAAGTCTACATATGGAATGCTAATTTTCCATGCAGCAAGGTTTCGGGGAGTATTAGGTGTGCTCACAGCTTCCACTGGAGAATCATCTTCCATTACAACAATACCTTCTTCAATCTAGAAAAAAAATCATCAGAAAAAAATTTAATATTTCCAGGTCCTCAGACCTATAGCATACAAGATACAACTATAAAGAATGTGCCCATATAAATTCCTAATTTTCTACTACTTCTGAAATTAAAAGATACTAAATTTTCTACTAAAAATATAAAGATAAATTAAAACTAACAAGTTACTAGCATCAACTCCAGGTTCTGTCATATCACCTGTATGTGCAAATTCCATAGAAAGGAGAAAATAGGCACTTCAGAGATTAACGATATTGAAAATACACAAGTATAAAAAAATATTTAACTTTGGTAATAAGAAGAAAAAATTAATGTACTGATATTTTTTCGTTTTGACAATATGTATTTTTTTAACTTTTTTTTTTTTTTTAATTTATTTTTGAGACAGAGAGAGACAGAGCATGAACAGGGGAGGGGCAGAGAGAGAGGGAGACACAGAATCGGAAACAGGCTCCAGGCTCTGAGCCATCAGCCCAGAGCCCGACGCGGGGCTCGAACTCACAGACCACGAGATCGTGACCTGAGCTGAAGTCGGACGCTTAACCGACTGCGCCACCCAGGCGCCCCGACAATATGTATTTAGAAAGAACCATAACACAGTTTCAACTAAGTACAGGTGGTCGCTGACTTAAGATAGTTAAACTTACGATTTTTCAAATTTACCAAGATGCAAAAGCGATATGCATTCGGCAGAAACTATACTTTGAATTTTTAAAAAATTTTTTGACGTTTATTTATTTAATTTCAGAGAGAGAAAGAGCACAAGCGGGGGAGGAAGAGGAACAGAGAGACAGGGAGAAAGAGAGAGTCCCAAGCAGGTCCTGAGTTGTCAGCATGGAGCATGATGTGGGTCTTGCAAGGTAAACAACCAATACATTATACAACCATTTTTTTTACTTTCAGTACAGTATTCAATAAATCACAAAGGTAAACAACCAATACACTATACAACCATTGTTTTTACTTTCAGTACAGTATTCAATAAATTACATAAGACAGTCAACACCTTATGATACAATGGGCTTTGAGTTAGATGATTTTGCCCAACTGTAGGCTAATGTTAAGTGTTCAGAGCTTGTTTAAAGTAGGTTATTTTCAACTTATAATGGGTTTATCAGAATGTAATCCCATTGTAAGTTGAAGAAGATCTTTTAACTCCTTTCTGGGAATGCAGTCTAATGAAAGTATTTATTCCAAGTCAATCTTTTTAAAAGTGTGGAAAAGATACAAGTATAAATATATTCACTACAGCTTAAGTAATGTCAAAAATGAAAAATTGCCTGAAAGGGATCCACCTTCATAGAATTAAGGTTATTTTTTCATCTCTTGGCTTCTAAAATTTTCATAATATAAATGTCTAAAATAATATTTTAAAATATTACATGAAGAACAATTATTTTTAGAAAGAAATTTTATTTTATTTATTTTTTTTTTTTTTTAACATTTATTCATTTTTGAGACAGAGAGAGACAGAGCATGAACGGGGGAAGGTCAGAGAGAGAGGGAGACACAGAATCCGAAACAGGCTCTAGGCTCTAAGCTGTCAGCACAGAGCCCGACACGGGGCTGGAACTCACAGACCGCGAGATCATGACCTGAGCCGAAGTCGGACGTCCAACCGACTGAGCCACCCAGGCGCCCCTAGAAAGAAATTTTAAACATGTTCTAGAACTACACATACAGAAAGGAGGAAAAACTGTCCCAACTTAATTAAATTAGAAAAAATCCTCTAGAGAAGCCTGGATGCCTCAGTAGGTTATGTGTCTAACTCTCGATTTCGGCTCAGGTCATGATCCCACAGTTTGTGGGTTCGAGCACTGCACCGTGCTTACACTGTGAGTGCAGAGCCTGCTTAGGATTCTTTCTCTCCCTCTCTTTGCCCCTCCCCTGCTCATGCTTGCTCGCTCACTCTCTCTGTCTCAAGTAAACATTTTTAAAAAATTAGAAAAACTGGGATGCCTGGGTGGCTCAGTTGGTTAAGCGTCTGACTTCGGCTCAGGTCATGATCTCACAGTCTGTGAGTTTGAGCCCTGAGTCGGGCTCTGTGCTGGAGCCTGCTTTGGGTTCTGTGTCTCCGTCTTTCTCTGCCCCTCCCCCACTTGTGCTGTCTCTTTCTCTCTCAAAAATAAATAAAAATTTTAAAAAATTGGCAAAAAAAAAAAAAAGAAGAAGAAGAGAACCTCTGAATTGGCACATTAAAACACCTGGTCACTTATACATCTAAAATTCATGTTAAAGAAAGCCAAATATTACAGATAAAACACATCCCTCTTGAATATACTTTTTTAAGGCAATGAGTCAAAGATTTCTCGTACTTAACAAGAAATCTGAAAAGTCTATTCTGAGCAAACCAGTAGTGGAGAGAGATTTATTTCCACAATTTTAGCACCCTAACTTTCACTCTCAATTCTACTTCTTCCCACACCTGGCAGTCACCTTTTTTTTTTTAAGTTTTATTCATGTTCTTAATGTTTATTTATTTTTGAGTGGGTGGAGGGACAGAGAGAGGGAGACAGAGGATCCAAAGCAGGTTCCACACTGACAGCAGAGCCAGACTTTGGGCTCGAACCCACGAACCATGACATCATGACCCGAGCCAAAGTCAGATAATTAACCAACTGAGTCACTCAGGTGCCCCAGTTTTATTTATTTTGAGAAAGAGAGAGAGAGAGAGAGAAAGGAACACACACAAGTGGGGTAAGGGCAGAGAGAGAGAGAGAGAGAGAGAGAGACAGAGAGACAGACCCAAGCAGATTCTGCACTGTTAGGGCAGAGCCTGATGCAAGGCTTGAACTTATGAACCACAAGATTATGACCTGAGCCAAAGTCAGATGCTTAACTGAATGAGCCACCCAGGTGCCTCAGCCACCTCTCTTCTAAGTGAATTCTCCTCTCCCACAAAGTCCCTTAGCAATTATTCTTTTTTTTTTTTAATTTTTTTTAATGTTTATTTATTTTTGAGAGAGAGAGAGAGACAGCACACGAGCAGGGGAGGAGCAGAGAGAGAGGGAGACACAGAATCCGAAGACAGGCTCCAGGCTCTGAGCTGCCAGCACAGAGCCCGACGCGGGGCTCGAACTCACAAACCATGAGACCATGACCTGAGCCAAAGCCAAACACTCAACCAACTGAGCCACCCAGGCGCCCCGCAATTATTCTTTTCTTTCTTGTTCTAAAATGGCTTTCCATAATCCCTAATAAGACTGTTGGTGATCTTAGGAGGACTTCTTAATACTCTATTGAAAACAAAGTCATCAATTCCTAAAAAGGAAGGAAAAGAAACCATAAAAACAGATAATATGTGTTGGGTTTTGCCTTTTTGGGATAAGGCTATCTCCTTACACACCTGACACAAAAACAGAGAGAATTTGTGAGTGAAATGCCCACTCCACCATTTGGAGCCTGAGGTATAGGGCAGCATTTTCCATGGCTATTACAACTGTATTTTTGTCAATGGATTCAGCTTCTGAGATATAAGAAGGGTAAATCAATAATAAAATGATAGATAATTTAACAAGTTGACTAAATGCCAAAAAATAGACATTCTTGGGGTACCTGGCTAGCCCAGTCGGTGGAGCATGTAACTCTTGATCTCAAGGTCATGAGTTCAAGCCCCACACTGGACTCCATGCTGACAGCTTAGAGCTTGGAACCTGCTTCAGATTCTGTGTCTCCCTAGCTCTCTGCCCCTCCCCCACTCACGCTGGCTGTCTCTCTCGAAAATAAATAAAAACATTTAATATTAAAAAACAAATTTAAAAAATTTGTAAAAATAGACATTCTTTTTTTAAAAATTTTTTAATGTTTTATTTATTTTTAAGGCAGAGACAGAGCATGTGTGGGGATGGGGCAGAGAGAGAGGGAGACACAGAATCTGAAGCAGGCTCCAGGCTCTGAGCTGCCAGCACAGAGCCCGACACGGGGCTTGAACTCATGAACTATGAGATCATGACCTGAGCCGAGGTGGACACTTAACCAACCGAGCCACCCAGGCACCCCCAAAAAATAGACATTCTTAAATAAAAAGAACTTCCCCAAAATCAATCTAAGAAAGAAAATGGGAGAACAAAATTCTTAGCAACATAAAAATATCAATGAAACAAAGGACGTTTTAAAATGTATTACTGTTACTGCTACCATTTAAAAGGTGTTTTTATCAAAAGAGGTTAATGAATAATCTCTAGATTATTCAGAGAATAATTATTCTAGTTAGAGAAATATTTATTTCTTCAAAGAATTTTGATGTTATATGATATTTTTTGAAAGTAAATAAATATTATAAACCAAAATTTTATGAAAAGGAAAACCAAGTACTTTCTTGTTTTCAAATAGATGTTCCCTCTACAAAGAGAATAGAGAATAAGGGCAGCAGAAGATAAAAGACAAAAAGATGTCCCCCTGTTTCCTTGAGAAGTATTAACAGTCTCACTATTATATTTTCCTATGTGGAGATTAACTACCAATACACCATTGGGCTATTTGCAAATCAGTTCTGAACTTGGGACAGATACATATATTTTCATACAGATTCAATCTTATGCAGTGGACTTTGGTTCCCAGGCTAGTATACATATGTCTATCTCACAATTTACATTCATATATTTATGAAAACTAATTCTATTCTAATACTGTATACTGATTACTATGCTTACCATATGCTAGGCACTGTTCTAAGCACTTTATGCATACTACTTATTTAATCCTCACAACACCCTTAAGTAAGTTAGATACTATAATCCCCATTTCACATGTGAGGAAACTAAATCACAATAAAATTAAGCAATTTACCCAAGGTCACATAGCAAGGCAATATTGCCACCAAATGATCACATCAATGTTTCTAAAAGAAAATGTCTTGGGGCGCCTGGGTAGCTCAGTTGGTTAAGTGTCCGACTTTGGTTCAGGTCATGATCTCACCAGTTCATGGGTTTGAGCCCCCCATCGCACTCTCAGAGCCTGGCGCCTGTTTCAGATTCCGTGTCTCCCTCTCTCTCTGCCCCTCTCCTGCTTGTGCTCTGTCTCCATCTCTCTCAAAAATAAATAACGAACACTAAAAAAATTATTTAAAAAAATAAAATAAGTAAAAGAAAATGTCTTCCAGTTCCCATATTTGAATCACAAAGTACTTTTTAGTTGCGGTAGTGAGAGTTTCCTCTAAACTTCCTAAACAAGACAAAGACAATTCTCTAAGGTCCCATAGCTAAAAACTAGCACAGTGCTGGGGAGCCTGGCTGGCTCAGTTGGAAGAATATGTGCCTCTGATCTCACGGTCATGAGTTGGAGCCCCACACTGGGGGTAGAGATTACTTAAAAAAATAAACTTGAAAAGAAAAGAAAGAAAAGAAAAGAAAAAAAAGAAAAGAAAAGAGAAGAGAAGGGAAGGGAAGGGAAGGGAAGGGAGGGGAAGGGAAGGGAAAAGAAAAAAGAAAAGAAAAGAAAAGAAAAGAAAAGAAAAGAAAAGAAAAGAA